AATAAATATAATGCTTTTATCTTTAATACATATTCTTTCAATATTATTATTTCATATATTCGTTCGTTCATTCGTCCGCATATTCGTAGTTACATAAATCTTTATATATTACAACATGATATTGAATCATTTCAAAGATAAAATCGCGAATGTTTGAAGCGTTAATCTTACAAAATTAATTATCAAATTCATCAAAGATTTTTCCCGATTCGATTCGATTCAATTCTATTTTCTTTAAAAATAAAATCGAAATAATCTTTAAATTTATTAAATTATAAATCCCTTTGGATTACGATATAATATCTCTTTGAGGTTAGATGAGTTAAAAAATTATATTCCACCTTTTGTTTTACATTTTATGCATGGTAGGATATATTTTAACTCATTTCAAAAAGTTAAAGTTACTCATAGTCATACAGTTTAATATTTTATTTAAAGTTTTTCATTCAATTATTATTTTTTTTTGTTTTCTTTTTTTTATATCAACTTAGGTTTGCTATTTATTTTAAAAATCGTGTGCCTCAAAGAGATATAGTAATTTTTTTATTTTTAAAATCGTGTGCCTCAAAGAGATATAGTAATATTACGAAAACAATGAGAAATTTAATAATAATCGAGTTAAATGATCAAATTTTTTGATAATTACATTTTTATGCAAAAATCTAGTGTCGGAATTTCTCCCTCTTGAGTGTTAAAGCTCAGGTCTTATTATCTGCTTAAAAAATTAAATATTAAGTATTTCGCTGATAAGGAGATATGTTATTTGTATGGTTATGAAGAAACAAAAAAAAAAAAATAAAAAGAGAAAGATATAAAATATACAAAATATTCATTTCGACACGTTTACTAAACAATTCGTTTCACCCTTCATCAGGGTGCAAAAACCTATACCAGGAAACACGCCCCGGGTTATCTCGAACGTTCTAACTCAACTCCTCATTCTCACTTATATACTAAATGTAACATACTTAACGTTTTGCTATAATACACTATCATGACTATTAATTATGGCACATTATAAAACAAAAAATACTAGTAAATACATGCCAATATATTATACTCATACTGGTATAATAGCATACCAAGTATCTTATCATTTTCAAAAAAAAAAAAAAAAAAAGAAAAAAAGAAATGCGATTACTTTTGTCTAAATTTATGAATACAACCTTCTCAAAAATTCGAAAAATCCATATTTCCTCGTTTAAACGTTCAACTTTAAAACGTGACGTTTTTCATTAAAATCGGTCAAGAATTACGGCTGAATATATTTCGAGCGTAAACCATTATAAAAGCTGGGTTAATGAACAGCCTTATTAACAAAAATTTAATTATATATATATATATATATATATATATATATATATATATATATATATACATTTTTATGTTATATTTAATAATAATAAAAATTACTATTATTACTTTTATTATATAAATTTATTTTATTATTATTATTATTATTATTATTATTATTATTATTATTATTATATAAGGATAATTTGTATTATATAAAAAATAATTTCACACATAATATAAAATTATAATTTTTAAAATTGTTATTACATATTTATTATTATTGAATAACTTTATATAATAATTTTATCATACGACAAAAGAATAACTTCAATCGTATAAAAAAAATGTTTATTTATTTTCCATACGCTACAACAAAATGCCACTAATCATTTAGATTTTGACTTTTTGAAAAATATCAAAATATATGGTATACAAAAAGATATAACATTTGTCTGGGACTTGTTTGATAACCTTAAATCAAAATTCTCCCCGTATCGAGAAGGACCATTCTAATCTTACGGAAAATCCTATAGGATTGTCCTATAGGATAAGGGATAGTACATACATGCTGAAGGGTGTGAGCAAATTCAACGAGGTATATCTATATATCTATGTATACATATATATATACACACATATATCTATATATTTATACATACATACATACATATTTACGAGATGCAGGTACACTAGGGGAACTGTGAACGCGGTACGTTGACTGAAGCTTAGCTATGGCAAAGGATTACGATATCGTTGAACTGAGATATGTTCTGTGCAACATTTACTTCATTCTCTCTCTCTCTCTCTCTCTCTCTCTCTCTCTCCCCTTCTTTCTCTCTTTTGCTTGGTCCGTATCCTCTTGTGGTTTCACCACCTGTCATAACTATACTTTCACGTTGGATATACTTCCCTTCTTCTCATTCCACTGACAAGAAAGTGTTAGAGAGATAAAGATGGATAGAGAAAGGGAAGGAGGGAGAGAGAGAGAGAGAGAGAGAGAATTTCCACGTTTCCTCTCGAATTGTTCAAATTCAGACAGACACCCTACTCAAGACTCAGAAAGGAGAATCATGACTAGCTACTGTTAACTTAACCGTCAAACCACCTACATTCCACTACACAGACACCAAACTCGCTATATAGAATTTCTAAGCTACCTTGTAAAATTTTCTTCGTGTTTTCGTGCTTTCTATTAAATTCTCTTTCTCTCTATTTCTCTTCTTTGTCTCTCTCTCTTTCTTTACTTTTATCCATCTATCTGTCTATCTATCTATCTTATTCTTTTCTCTCAACGACATGGAAAAACTCAATTTTATGAGAAAGACCTTTTTCAAGCACATTCGTTTCGTTGAATAATTTCAACGAATTCATATGAATTTCTATGCCACTTTAATTAAATGATCCTAGAAGTCTTTTTTTTTTTCTTCTTCTTCCTCCCTTTTTTTTCATGAATACGAAGAAAATTAGGTCGGTTTAATTATTTTATTACTTTATTATCATATCACTTTTCCAAATATCGTTCATAATTTTTCCTCAAAATATATTATCTTCCTCATAAGTACCCCAATATATATTGTATTATTTATATGGGTTAGGGATTATTTAATTTAATAAAAAAAAAAGAAAAAAAAAAGAAGGAAGAAGAAATAATATTGTTGCAACGGACATTACGTTGTGTTGTACGTCGATGATCGGCTTAGTCCATTCTCTGGTAAATTTATTTTACGATCTTTTTCTTTTTTATAAGATTACATCTTAGTTTACTAGGAGAAAGCGGACAGACACGTCAGAGATAATTAGAAGTCGTATAATGCTTTCAGACGCATATATTCGTATGGGGCTTCTCGTGTCAAGGGATCGAGTAATGTCCATTGAGAAACCCCATACAGAACGAGGAAGCCCTCTTAACTTATTTGTCAACCATGAAGGGTCAGAAGATATGTTTGCGAGAAACAGAGAGAGAAATAGAGAGAGAGAGAAACAGCTTTTCGACAAAAGTTAAATTATCCTATATCTTAGTCCTTTACAACTCTCATGTTGCTCTCCAAACGTGTTATTACATCTAAATCCGAGTTTCTATATTTTGTTTAATACTGGAAAGAAGAAAAAATACTTTCTTACTATTTGTCTCATATTTAAAAATATTCGAATCTTAAATACAGTTCGAGTATTCGAATTATTTGGATAATAAAATAAAAATGAAGACTATTTCAAAGTTATTAGAAATATAATTCGAATTGTTCTGTATTTTGTTATTATATATTTATTTATATAATCATAACAAAAAGTGTCCCATCGGGATTATTATGAAACGTAATGATTTTATTTTATTTCTTTTTCTTTTTTTCTCCCTTTTCGAAGAACATCAAAATATGTCACAAAACATCTTTTAATCTTTGGAATGATGCTATTTATTTTCTTTTTTTTTTCGTTTTTTAAAATTTTCAATCAATAATAATGAGAGAAACTGCGTTCCGAAATTTAAGATTGAAAATAATTTTATAATAGTTAAATATAATAGATAATAATTAATTTAATTATCATTATATATCGTATACATTTTTAAATATATTTATTTTATCTATCGTTTTCGAAAAATAAATGTTAAATTTTATTTCTCAACGATCGATCGATAGATCAAGAAAACTATTTGAACGGACAAGATATCTCGTTTTTCTAATTAGATCTCTCGATTATATAGCATTATTATTTTAATAGCGGAAGATCGAGTATATTTTACGAAAACGGAGACAGAGAGATAGATAAATAGATAGTTAGATAGATAGAGAAAGAGAGAGAGAGAGAGAGAGAGAGAGAGAGAGAGAGAGAGAGAGAGAGAGAGAGGAAGAAGTTTCAGAGAAAGAACATAGAAAGAACATAGAAAGAACATAGAAAGAACTTTGCCATTTTCGATTCGATACTATCATCGAGAAACCACGATAAAGATTTGGTTCTTGGTAGATCGTAACGAGTAAATGATTCGAGACGAAGCTTTTCACAATATAAGCTTTCTACGTTCTTTATCTCTGTTACTCTGACAATGTTTGTATCGTTGGTCGATCGAAAAAGGATGAGAGTAGACTTCTCGCAATGGTAAGAGGGATCAGACAGGAAGGAAACGAGAGAGAGAGAGAGAGAAAGAGAGAGAGGGGAGTGAAAGGGAGAGGAAAAAGCAGAGAAAGTTTGATAATGGCGTCGAAGAAAAGTTTGCCTCGGATTTGTGCACGTGTTTCGCGAAAATCGTGGGAGTTTTCTTCTTCGAGGCTTCACGATCGAGCGCTTCCGTTTGTTTTTTGTCGCCACGACAGAAGCTCGCGGGAGGTTTGAGTGGAAAGTCGCTTGAAAAGCGCTTGCGACCGCTATAATGTCTATCTATCTATCTATCTATCTCTTTCTCTCTCACTCTCTCTCTCTCTTTCTTCCCTGATCTAACATTTTCCGTCTCGCTCCAACCTAGATTAAAGTATCGTACTAACCCGGCCGCGTTTGAATAATTCAAAACGAAAGTTTTCTCTCTGTGTTACGAAAACTCTTTCCCACCATTATTCCCTTCGACAACGTGTTTGTAAAATTTTCGATTCCTCTATACGTTATATACCATACCGAGCTTCATCGTGCTCGCTTATTTTATGGGATTTTTTTTTTTTTTTCGTTTTTTCCTCCTTGTCTCCTTTTTCTCTTATTTTTTCTTTTTTTTTCCGCAGGATTCGCACTGATGAGGATCGTCGAGGTTTACAAGGAGATTCACGAGCAAGAGATGAACATTGTAAGTAATTTTCTTTTTTCTTTTGTTTTTTTCTTCTTTTTTTTTCATCTTTTCTTCTTCCTTTATCATAGATTTTCTTATACTTCTTAAGCTTTTTCGATAATGGAAGTAAGATCAATATTGAAGGATAGGAAGAGAGAAAGAAGAAGGAGGAGGAGAAGGAGGAGGAGGATAGGTGCCAGGGAGTGGAAAGAGAGAAAAAAAAAGAAGAAGAATACATTAGGAGCTTTTCGTGAGAAAAACTGTACAGTAATATCTGTCATATGGTGAAAAAAAGAAAAAGAAAAAGAAAAAAAGAAATAACATATTCGATACGAAAACGTACATTAAGAGATCTTTTTTATCGATATAAGAGAAGACAAATATATAATTTCTATTTTTTCTATTTTTTCATACGCAAGTATTTTACATTAAACGTATATGATATCATCAAATTCGTAATTTCAATGGACTTTCTGAATTATCGAATCTTAAGATAGAAGTTTGATCTTCTAACTTTCAACGAGGTGAAACCAACCAAGATGATTGGATTTTGAAACTAAAGAAGGAAAAAGAAAAAAAAAACTAAAGAAGAAGACGAAGAAGAAGTAGAAAAGATGAGAAAGGATAAAGGTCGACCGTTTGAATTATTTAAGTAGACCACCTTGGTCAGACGCAATTAAAACTACGAAGATTTATGTGAATCGTGCGAGAGAACGAGAAGAAGAAAGAGAATGAAGGTGGGAGGGTAGACAAGGGGGTTCCACGAGAGGGGAGATGAATTGTGAAAGAAGGAAAACGAAGCTCAGTTGGAATATTAATCGAAAGGTTGAAAGAGGACTCATTCCGCGTTCCTATATATATATCTATATAGTATATATATATATATATATATATATATATATATATATATATATAGAAATATATATATATATAGAAATATATATATATAAATTATCTCTTTCTTCCTTTCTTTTTCTATTTATACATTCATTCATACATACATACATACATACATACATACATACATACATACATACATACATACATACATACACACATACATACATACATACATACATACATACATACATACATACATACATACATACATACACACATACATACATACATACATACATACATACATACATACATACATACATACATACATACATACATACATACATACATACATACATACATATATATATATATGTATATGTATATATATATGTATATATGCGTCTCTTCGTATCATCTCCGGTCGCACAAAAGTCCGCGGAAAACTCTTTGATCCTCCCCAGTTTATAGGTCTCACCCTCGAGGACAACGCAACGCGTTACACACTCGATCCGTTTGAAGCTTGAATTCCATTTGGATTCAAGCTAACGAAACACGATTTTTCCAGAGTTGCGAGGAATTACGAATGAGTATCGTTCGAGAGGAATCATATTTCTCGTCTGTCTTCTCTCTTCCTTTCTCATACACCACGTTTCATAAACCGTTCATTCTTCCATCTCTCTATCTCTCTGTCTCTCTTTATCATTTTTCTCTTTAATATACATCATATTTTTAAATACATAAACTCTCGACGTATTTCTATGTAATAGCATTTCAAAGGACCCGAACGATTGATTTATTATATCCATAATTATGTTCTCTTCCTTCAGAGAGTATATAAATAAATCTATACCGATTATCTTTCCTTGATCTCAATTTTTCTTGAATGAGAAGGTAAGAAAGAAAGAGCGAAAGAGAGAGGGAGAGAGATAAAGAAATAGAGAATGAGAGAGATAGAGAGGAAGAAAGAAAAATTTCTGGTCGTAAAAGAACTTACGAAATTCTTTGGCACGAACCACCCTCTTATCGTCTCGTTCGAGTTTATAACTCTCTCTCTCTTTCTCTCTCTCTCTCTCTCTCTCTCTTTTTCTCTCTCTCTCTCTCTCTCTCTCTCTGTTTTTCTCTCTCTTTCAGTTTCGTGACTTGGAAGAAAGGTAAAAGAGGGTTGATAGTGGTGGTTCGGGTGGGTGGAGTGGGGGGTAAAATGCCGCGCTTCGTCGCGATAACAACGGCGATGTTATAGCACGACATTACGAAACTCCGAGTATGACATTGACTTTAAGCTTATACTTTGTAACGGGGAATGAAACGAGCGCGTGTACAGAACGAACGGCCACCGTTCGTAGATCGTCGTCGTAGTTTTCATCGTTGTATTCGTCCTAGTCGTAGTTATCGTAATCGTCGTAGTATTAGTTGAGAAAAGGATGGAAAATGTTGTTCAGTTCAGCACAAGAGAACTCTCTTTCCTTTTGCGATATAAGTCGTTTCTCACTCGTTCAAATTGCGTCTAAGACTGTTATTTGTTACGTGAATCTAACAATCAACTTCCTTTACTACCAGTCGTAAGCGTTACTCTTGCGAGTAAACGGTTATTATTATCGAGAAATCTCGATTTGAATTTCCGAACGTGCACGTTGGAATTTTACGAACGATCGGTCTGAAATCCGTAAATGCAGTTGCGGTTACATAACTTCTCTTTTCTCTCTCACTCACTCTCTCTCTCTCTTTATGTGTCTCTGCCTCTGTCTCTGTCCTGTCTCTGTTTCTCCATTTCTCTTCATCTATCTCTATACCAGTAATTTCTCTCTATTTTAAATTACTCTGGAATGGCATGTTCTCGTTACGAATTTCACTCGGGTAACGCAATGCCGAACATTTTCGAACATTTCCGCGGTTGTTTGCCTGAATCGATATAATTATATTTATTCTACACATACCTATCGAAAATTTATTACCCCATTTAATATTAACTATAAATCACTTAATTATATTATTTAATATTCTTCCAATTCTTCCGTAAAGCTCATAAATACATCATATATGTTAACTCTATAAATATATGTATTTATATTTATATATATATATATATAGTGCGTGGATATATGCAACACTTCGTGCACCGTCGATAAAGTCACTACCTACTGACATTTATTAGTTAAGTTACTTTCAGACCTCGTACGATATGCAATAATTATGTACGAAGTTGTTTCTTACCTATCATACAATCTTACGAAAAGTTTCTTTCTGATAAATGAAGCTGAGTAAGTCAGAAGGTAAATTACTAACGTTATCAATACGTAATGTCCCTACATCTATCTATAATATTTTCAAAAGGTATAATCTAATTAATAATTTCTAAACTTAAAACAATTTGATCTATCGATTATCGCATTACGATCGAACATCGTCATAACTCGTTGTATATCAATCAATGATCAACATGTCAAATCCTTTCAAATCCTTATTTCGATATTTTGTTTCGTTCGAAACTTCATATATTCGACTGGTGACGATGGAAAAGAGATGAATAAATCTTTCAACTAGACAGAAACGCTTCGGTACGACGTGTATTTCTCTGAACGTAGTTATACCATGCGAAACTCGGAATTGCATTGTCTCCAGTATTCTCAATTTCGATCCTCCCATTTTTCTGTCTTACTATCTAGGGCTTAGATATAATCCAAAAGGTCATCCGTTAGAATTCATAGAGAATCCCTTCTTTACGATAACCTCGCGGTACAATTTTCTTTTTTTTTTTTTTTTTTTTTTATTCCTTTTCCTCTTTTCTTTCTCCCTTATATTCAACGTTGTCGCGTTAAAACAAAAAAAAAAAGAAAGAAAAGAAAAAGAAAAAAAAAAGAACAAAAAAGAACAGAAAATCATATTTCCAATCACCGGCATAGATAAAAATTCGAATAAAATTTGGATTAGAATAGGCAAAAGAGAATCGAGGAAGAGATTGGGATAAATTATTCATGAAAATATTTGAATAAATAATTTTGATTTTCAACAGGAACATAATCCGATAGAAAAATGGACAATAAAAAGAGAAAAAGAAAAATATAGAAAAATATATATATATAATTGAAGGATTTGGAATCGTTATCCATTATAAAGTCGAATGATAATCCAGTAAAAATTTTTTCATGGAGTTCTCTTTTAAACGGAATTAGATCGATCAGAGATCAAAGTCTTTTGAAGATTCTTCTGATTTGAAAAAAAGAAAAAGTTTCGTCCCTTAGAAGAAGTAAAATTTGTCAATTTGTTCTTAATAATAACGTGTCATAGTACGAACTTTGAACTTTGAACGTTTGAAGTTTACTACTTGAAAGACGTAGGTAACCTTTTTGGTACATAGAATTAGATGATAGTATGGATATCTATTAACAAAATTATTTTCAATTCGTTTCGTCGCGAACATACACTCTCGTTTCTTCGCATACATTTGGAAAACTTTTCGAATGTATTTTCGAAAGATACCTTATGCTTCTTCGTTAGCTATTCCGTATTTCCATTTTAATGAATATTCACGAACGATGAATTATCCATCAAAGTCAAAGCTCTTTCCAACGAAACGACAAAGATCTATATCAAATTTTTCCCAACTATCGTAATTTCGATTGCCGACATGTTTTTATCCGATTATCAGATTTAACCAAACATTATTTTTGTACGTTTCTATAAACGAAAGAAAAAGAAGAAGAAAAAGAAGAAAATTGGCTTCCATCCAGACTGCTGGATCATTCGACGAGAGGGAAAACGATCGTAAAATAAGAACGAAAAAAGAAACAAAATAAAAGAAATAGAGAGTAGAGGTTAACGCTTATTCGGCAAAATGTGTAGATCCGTCATTAATTTATGGACGCATTCATCTTGTCGATGATTATTCTCTCTCTCTCTCTCTCTCTCTCTCTCTCTCTCTCTCTCTCTCTCTCTCTCTCTCTCTCTCTCTCTCTCTCTCTCTCTCTCTCTCTCTCTCTCTCTCTCTCTCTCCCTCTTTTTATCGCACGAAGCATGCAGCGAAAAAGATAACCAAACCGAACGTCAGATTCGTTCGTTATCGTTCGTTATCGTTCGTGACTTATGGCATGAGAATAGCGAGTGAAGAATAAAACTGAAAAAGAGAGAGAGAGAGAAAGAGAGAGAGAGAGAGAGAGAGAGAGAGAGAAGAAAAAAAC